CACACTGTTAATGGGGATGTTATTCTGCCTCCTCATGTCTGGCATAGTTAAAGATGATTCAGATATCGATTTAAAAAACAGCAGTAACTCTAGGTAGAGGCTCAATTAGACAGTTTTGTTGTCTTCATGGATCAAATTAAGTGGAAATCTGAAATATCTCCAATTATTTTATGTCAAGTAAATAGCAACGTAGGTGAAAAATATATAAACATATGGACTTTTAAAGTACATTCACTTAAAAAATATCCTAAGTAGTTGCTTTTCACAAAAGCATTAGGAAAGAGAATTTTGAAGCAAGAAAATTTCCAATTTCAGTTGATTGCCTGCACTCAGCAGTATAACACCTTAATGAGAATCCTGTTAAAGACCCATTGGCCTATGCAAAGTGAAAAATTACTTTCCCACTATGGGCTCAGTGACAATGATTGTATGTCACATTATCTCTCTATTTGTTGGCCAGCTGGGCACTTAGAGCATGAATTTTAGTGTTCTGGGCTTTGTGGAGAATTACTGAGGTATCCCCTTCTAAATATTCCTGCAGCACAAAATTATTTCTGCCTCAAATATTTTATATCCAGAAATGCTTTACATAAATACATATATATATACATATACATACACGCATATACAGTATACACATATACATACATATATATATTTAATAGCAGGTGTTCAACGTGGGTCTTCAAGCTAATCGTGGGTATAAAAAGAAAAGTTTTGTTTTTTCAGAACACTTGGAATAAGTATATATTCAACTAGTACTTATTGAGGGTCTAATATGTACCTGCTACTTTTGTAGAAAGTTGGTGAGTCCTGTGCTATTCTCCTCTTGGTTGTGGAGAAAACTCATGCTTAGAGAGGGTAAGGGTCCTGTTTTGAGAATGACAACAACAGATAGCAAAGAGGGCAGGATTCGAAACCAATTTTTTGATTCCAGACTCTATTTCCTTCCATGATTGCAGGGAAAACAGTATTTTTCATACTGCATGATTCACTAGACATGAAGAAAAATGCTTTATACCAGCTAAAACAATGGAGTATAGCTGAGATTACAAGTTGTGTTTTTTATAAAAGGACTCATTCTTCCATTTATGATGTCAGGGTAAGGCCTTCACATCTTTGGTCTCATATTAGCAGAGAATTAGCATTAGTGGTTGTGGTTATCACAGAGGTAATTTCACTCAAGTGGAAAACAGTGCAAAAGGCTAAAACAATCTTTATTGGCAAACTGCTAATAAGCTTTGCGAGTAAGAAGAAAGAAGAGATTTGGAAATAGCTTTAGAAGAAAATGCCATTATTTAGAACAGCTGGAGGGAATCCTCTCTGTGTTAATGACCAATATGTGGCATGACGGCCATATTGCACCCTGCCAAGGGAGGTCTTCATAAGGAACAAGGAAGGTGAAGTTGAGACCAGTGGGAAGCTCAGCTCCCCACTCTCACCTGTACCACAAACAACACCTCTGCCATGTAGCATGTACATGGGCTTCCAGATCCACCCCAAATGGTGGGTTATTAGCTCTGTTTAATGGTTTCCAGATTTAGAGTCAGTTATGGTTCTTTATCATTTTTTAAATAAAAGCCCTAGGAAGTTCTTCACTATGTCTTACTTATCCTGAAAGTGCTTTATGAATGGTGTGACCAGAGCTCTCCGCCTCAATAAAGACTTTTCATGCTGCACTGTTGTACAGCAGACTCCAATTTGATTTCAAATCCAAACTGTGCTACTTTCTATGTAGGTGTCCTTGGGAAAAGTACCTAACCTCCTGAGAATCAAGATTTACAAAAAGGATGCCTATTTCATAAGACTATTTTGGAAATAAAATTAGAGAAGATAGATGAATGGATGAGGAGAGAGAGAGAGAGAGAGAGAGAGAGAGAGAGAGAGAGAGAGAATGACAACATACCAGGTGCCTAATAAGCACTTGATAGTTTCCTTTCTCTTCCCTTAAAGAACTATCCATGAATATGTACTATTTTTATTCCCAACAAGTTGCACATTTTGAATGTAATCTCATTAATGATAAGCTCCCTTCTTCCAATCATAGAATCTTGACGCTGTCAATGTTTCCTTGATAAAATGCTGTCCCATCCCTTTGTTAACTCTGGATGTACTTTCCATGCTAGCTCTCCATGTCTGATTTAACATGCAGAATTCAAAACTGATCACAGTCCTTTGGAGAAGGTGATCAGTGAGTTTTGTGGAATAGTTTTTCTAAACTATGGCTCTTTCCAGAAAGGGGAAATCGATGGGAGTGGTATGGAGAGTTCAGTCACAAGTGCTGACTGATGAACATTCTCAAGTCCAACTGGAGACTGTTCACAGGCTGGGGGAGACTATTTCCTCTCATGTGTTTATGTAGTCTCTCTGTCCTAAACTTTCTCAGATATATATACCAGAAATGTAAGAGCATTTGTTATGCAGGTCCTATATTCTGTCTTTTGGAGCTGAGGATAAGCCAATATGTAGAAAAGGCTTACACTATTCTTTAATGTGTTTAACAAGCATTTAAGTATAATCTTGGCAATTAAAATACTTTTGTATATAAATATTAACTCAACAATGAAGCAAACTCAATGATGTGGATTGCTTCCACAAATGAGCATTACCTGTGTATATAGGAATAAGTCTCTCTAAAGTAGCGATGACACCAGTCCCTGACTGTTTTAACGAATCTTTATTTAATATAAATGTGAAACTCTCCCGCCTGATAAATTAAGTATATGTTATGAATAACAATAACAACAGCAATGAACATTATACTATACTATAGCAAATACACATATAATTCCAGTAATATTATAAAAAACAATAAATATAATTTTAATTATTTAAAAAAAATAAAAAAAAATTATTGAGAAAAACTCTGTAAGGAAATACATTTTACAGATGAGGAAATTGAACATATAAAATCAAACAAACAGACAAAAAAGAAACAAACAAACAAACAAACAAAAAAAACAAAACAAGCCATTTGCTATCACCCAGCTCATAAGTTCCTGAGCCCAGATTTAAACTCAGTGATTCTGGCTATGATCCAGAATCTAGACCACCTTCAATATTACTACAGAACCAAATGCGGCGAAGTATTGATTGAGTACTTACTTTGCCTTTGTTTTTTTGTTTTTTTTTCGTGAACTAGAACAAACGTTACAATTAAGACACTGCCCTGTTGAGAAGAAAGTTACTTAAATTCTCCAAAGCTAAATTCATATTTAGCAACCACCCCTATCTCTCTGTTTTTGTTTGTTTACTACAGGAACAAAAGTGCTTTGACATTCTTTACCATCACAAACAGAAAAGACAGGCTACCAGGGGAAGGAGGTGTCCTTTTCAGGGAGTGCAGTGACTATGCGGCCTCTCACCACATTCCTTTTGTTCACCTTCCTATGGGTTTAGGGACATCCTGAGCTGAGGGCAAGAAAGGGCACTCTGAAAAGTATTTATAGTATTTATACTCTTCCAGGAAGTAAAGAGCAATGTCTCTTTCCTAGGTGGATATCCACTTACCCATGGAATTTGCTGCATTGCCCTGTTGCCACCCAGGTTGGAAAAGAACCCTGGACAGTGAAGACAAGAAGGTCAGCCAGGGAGAGAAGAGGCAAGGACTGTCCCTGGTAAGCTCAACCTGAGGAGGAGGAAAGATACCTGCCACTCATGCCTGCAAGCCTCATGTTTGAAGCTGCTGAGGACAGATGAGAAAGGGGCACTCTGAGAGGAATGGGAGGGACTGCTAGGGCTCAGGCAGTGGTGCATGCATGGTAAGTCACAGTGTGCCATTGCTAGGAGTTCTGTGGAAGAGACAGCTGAGTCATCCAAGGGACCACATGGCTGGGGGAGCTGTGGGAGTCTCCCAGCATCTGTGCATGGTTGGCTATCCATGGCTACATCACCAGAGATAACCAAGAAAAAGGGACTGGCCACAGTGGAATGATAAGGAAATTCCATTTCCAGTTTCCTTTTTTGCCCCAATACTACCAGCGGAGAAATCTAAGAGAAATGACAATCTACAGGGTGATGTGAGAAGGAGAAGACAACACCTCTGTCAACTCCACATTCTGGTGGAACTCAAGCCCTAATTAAGTTAGAAGGAGGGACAGAGGTCTGAACAAAACAAACTTTTAAAACAGAAAGGCTTGAATTGAAAAGTCATTAAGGAAGCCTACCTGTCAACGAGAAATAGGTTTGAAGCAAATTTGGTAACAGAGATTGGAAAAGTAAAATGATTTAATTTTTATAAGTTAACCAATGAAATGTTCTCAATTAAACCTGTTGTAATTATCAAACAAGTAGAGGGAGATATTAGCCCCTTTCCTCCATCCTCTCCAGCTTTTACCTGATTGGAGAATTCAGAAATACAAAACACTAAGTCCTCTACAGATAAGCCTGCTCAGCCAACATCTCCATTCTTATCTCCTGCTCCACTGTCTCACACACCGTAGGCTGCATCACTCGATCACTTAATGGCCTTATGACACCTCGTGCTTGCTCATGTATTCATGTTTTTGCACATGCCCTTTCTTCTGCTCAGAGTACCCTTACTTCCAGTGTCTGTCAGGCAAATATCCACAGATGCTTCAGTTCTCAGCTTGAGAGTTATATAATCTCTGAAACCATCCTGAACTGCTTCCCCCTCCTTTGATGCCCATTTTCATCCATGTGTCCAACCTGGATCCTCCCTTAATCTCTTATATGCCTCTCTTTGTGATGGTTACACAGGATACAAATTTGTGTCTGTATTTCTGCCCCTCCCACCAGACAATAAGAGTTCTGAAGGGAAAGAAGAGATCTTATGTGTCTTGTTAAACATTGTACCTAGCACAGTACTTGGCATGTAACATAAGTTTTATAAATATTTGCTAAGGAAAGAAGGAAGGTAGGTAGGGAAGGAGGAAGGAAAGAAGGAAGAAAGAAAGGAAGAAATAAAGAAAATTTCTTTACATTCAAGTGATGAGGCTGCACGGTTTAGTTTAAGAGAAGGCTCCATATTATTATCTTACCCTTCCAGGGAGATGGCCCGTTGGAGAGTTACGGAAGGCTGGCGGGTTGCCGTGCTGTGCTGAGAATGACTGCAACAAAGAAAGAAAAACAAACACAGATCATTTATTTAAAATGTCTTTGCACATTCTCATCAGTCTTATTGTCAAGTAAAGGGCACATCTTGAAAGAAATACAGTAGAGATTGAATGGCTATTCTTTGGTGATAAGTAGACTCATCCACAAAATTTAGTACTCTACCAGATAAGGGGTTAATATTTCTTTAAAACTTGATTTCAACATGTATTATTCATTTGAGGTAAACTTCAAATGACAGACATTAATGGAAACAAAATATTTAGAAGAGGTAATTTTTTCCCTTTGGAATGAGACAAGAGCATAGAAATATAAACTTCATCATAATGTAGTGTCTTACTTTTTTAATGCAGAACATTTTTTATAACAAAGTTTAAAACAGTGAATTTGAATATCAGAAGTATTTAATTAGTATAAGTTTTCATTTTAGTTCACACTTGTAACACCTGTAAAATTAGTAACAATTCAGCTGCTGGATGAACACAAAAACTTGAAAAATGAGACTTATGGTTGCATACCAACCTTAGAATTTAATGTAATTCCACATCTTGTTTTGGTCACGTGGTAATAAGACCTATCTTATGGATAAGCAGTTGCAGTAAGAATTATAATGTTTATTCTTCCTTAGGCACTTATATTGCCTGAGTCATTTTTCTAAGTTTGTATGTTTATATCTTTTACTTCTCTCAATCCTATGAGGTATGCACTGTCTCCATTAACAGATGAAGAAACTAAGCTAAAGAGAGGTTTAGAAACTTGTCCAAGTCATGTGGTAAATACGTGTGCTTGAGATGGCATCTACACTGATTTTAAAGCCATTATTCTTAACCATCATGTTGTCTCATCTCCCAATTAGTGACAATTTTTCAAGTTTGTAAGAATGTGCTTTGTAATCTCAGAATACTCTTCGATTAGAGAGAGGTTCATCTAAGATATGCACAATAACAGCAAAAAGCAATGCTCTGTGGATTTCCTATGTGTTAAAATGTATTATAAAATGTGTTTCAGTGTGTAATGTTAGTTTGCAGTATTGATTTAATATCTTAGTTGTAATGTTAGTTACATATACATATAGGGTATGAAGGTGTACATACACAAATATATGAATAAAGAGAACCCGAGTCCACTGTTTGTAGAACAGTTAGACACCTTTACATAGACAGCTCCACCATTTCTCAGCATATACTTCTGAAAACACCAACATTGTCAGAGAGCCAAGCTGTAGCCTACAGATTTTCATCCAGAACTTCGGTCATTAAGGACGAGAAGCAGTATCTCTCTGTGAATAGTTTTTAGTTGTGACATGGATGACAGTTATGTGAGGTTGAGGGAGCAAAATTTGGGACAGTAGCTAAAAGCTAGAGAATGTTTTTTTTAAGTTAAGGATTGTGTCCTAAGTTTGCTGGCATCCTTCACAGTGTCAAGCACTATATATGTTCACTGAACATGTTTTGATTGACCAGTTGAAAAGCAGCAGAGCATTCAGCAGCTGGACCATGTAGCCAGACTTCCTGAGTTCAAATCCCAGCTCTACCACATGGACCAATGTGACCTTGCTCAATATCTACCGGTATCTGTGTATCAGTTTCTTACCTGTGAGATTGGGATAGTAATACTACTTTCCTCCAGGGATTGTTACAAGGATTCAGGGAATACAATATTTATAACAGTGTCTGTTACGTGGTAAAACTACATAAGTGTTTGTTAAGTAGATGAACTAATATGATTAGCAGTGTGTCTACTTTAACATATTTAGTACTAAATAAGAATTACTTAGATCACTTCTTTCAGCTATCTAGTCACTGCCCCAAAGTGTATATTTGTGAATATAAGTTTGGTGACAAATATCAAATTAAAATACATTTTCTATTGTAAAAATACTATAAAATTAATGAAAATCAAAATAAGGAAAAGCTTTAAAAACTCACATATAATTCCATTACCTTGTATCATATGTTACAGAATTATCTAATTTAAATACTGCAGCTGTTCTATAGGTATGTATGAGTATCCACATTTTATATATTAAAAAAGACACACAGAACTTTAATGACTTATCAGAAATCAACAGCCAGAATTCAAACTAAAGCCTGTCTTGTTGCCAAGTGTGTGTACTTTCCACACTATGCTATTTACTTTCTATACGTCCACATGTGCTTGACGTAATTTTATATATACATGGACCATATATAAGATTACATCCTGCATTTGTTCCTCACATTATAATTTAAGCATTTTTATAGGGATTCCATAATTATTATTTTGGTGTTATATAATGTTACTTCCTCTCAACATATAATAATAATTTACTATTATAATATAATGCATATTATATAATAATTTATAATTATATAATTATATATAATAATTTATTTAACTATCCTTTTATGGTTAGGTATTTGGGTTTTTTCTACTGTTTTAATATCATTAACAATGCTGCAGGAACATATTGATACCAATTACTTTTTCTTATTTGACAATTTCCTTTGACTATATTCCCCAAATGCAAACATTTACTAGGTTCTTTTTGTTGGTGTTGTTAAAGCTTATTTAGTTCTTTTGAGAGAGACAGAGATAATGTGAGTGAGGGAGGGGCAGAGAGTTTCTGTGCTGTGAGCGCAGAGCCAGATGTGGGGCTCGAACTCCCAAAACTGTGAGGTCATGACCTGAGCCGAAATGAAGAGTCTGATGCTTAACTGACTGAGCCACCCAGGCATCCCAACATTTACTAGGTTCTTGATTTATGTTATTAATTACTTTTCAAAAGTTTTGTACCATTTTATTACCTCTTCTCTACCTATTATATTTAATATATTTTCAAATAAAAAAATATAAAATATATAAACATCACTTTCACCACAGTCTTAGAGGCACTGATATTATAATTAAAAAAACTGTTAAGTATAAAATGATACTTCAGATTTATGAGTACTTCTGTGTTCATTAGTGAAAACGACCATTTTTTCTATATGCTTAATTGCTAATGGTATTTCTTTGTTTAAACTGTTTAATCCCTTCCTTTACTGTATATATTCCACTAGTTTAGGAAGTGCCAACAGTCATTCTTGGGTAAAGATCAATGATGCTTGCTAACCAAGATTAATGAGTAACTAGAATTCTTGATAGCTTCCTCACCATTAGCCTAGCCCATATAATTAAAACAAAGAAATATTCAGTAATCTCATTTTACTTATCACTACTTTAAACTAATTACTTTATTATTCTCCTTTAAATTATTCCAGTAATGTCTCTTTTAAAGTTTTGGTGACACTTAAATTACATGTGGAAGACACCTTGAAGTACTCACAGAATTTGAGTCCTTTTACATTACACATGCAAAGTCAGCCAGTTTCTCAGTCTGTGAATTTCGAACAGAGCCTTTTACAACATGTAATTATCCTTTTACTTTACTAAGACAAATACAGTGAATTATCTGTTAGTCAAGACCTACAGACACAAGGGAATTTTTGTTATTCCCTGATGGAAATATGTAAGCAGGACTTGAATGGGGAATGGTTGCAAAGCATATTAGGAGCTACATGATAGTGATAATAACTGGTATTTTTATAAAAAAAATGTTTATTTTGAGAGAGAAAGAGTGTGCACATGAGTGGGGGAGGGGAAGGCAGAGAGAGAGAGAGAGAGAGAGAGAGAGAGAGAGAGAGTGAGAGAGGGAGAAGGAGAGAATGCCAAGCAGGTTCCACATTGTCAGTGCAGAGCCTGACATAGGGCTCACTCCCACAAACTGTGAGATCATGATCTGAGCCAAAATCAAGAGTAAGATGCTTAACCCACTGAGCCACCTAGGCGGCCCAACTGATATTTTTACTCCCCCGCCCCCCGAATATCTTCCCCTTGGGACCAAGCAGGTTCTGTGCATTTCATACTGTTGAGTACAAAGACAGTGTGTGGCTAATTTTACCATGACTAACAAATTCCCAGTGACCACTGCCTAGCCCTTTCAGCGCCTCAGGCAGTGGCCAGCCAGATGGAATTCCAGACAGAGAACTGACATAGGAAGAATCACAGCAGGAAAGAACAGCTAAAATTTAAAGCTTTTTAACACTGGAGTGCTAAGTGTTCAGAATGTCTTTGTCTTATGGTCATCATTTTCCTATCATTTTTCTAGATACTTTGAAACATCTATTCAGAAAAGCATTCGATGATATGCCTCCCTCACCTCCCCAACACAGCTGACACAGTGCTGTATGCACCATCCCATTTTTATCACACAGCCAAAATAGCCCCCAGGACTGAGAATCACCACCATTTATTTTCATGTCTTTTTTTTTTTTCTTTCTGCTAAGTCATGTATGTTTTCAGAGCAAGGAGTGGGAATTATCCATTTGTACATTCTCATCTCAGGGCTGACTCACAGAATGTGCTTCATAAATGCCTTTTCAAATGATGAAAACCATGGGTTGCGTTCCATCTATCTGTAAGACCCCATTCCCTCTTTCAAACTTTATAACAACATTGAGACTAGCCATTATGCTAATTTTTGAAGGAAGTTAAAGACCAAGGTCTCACAGCTAGTAGGTAGCAAGAGTAGAACCCATGTTTGCTGGCTCTAAAGTGCTTGCTCTTTAAGAAAAATCATGTTGCCTCACAGAAAGACGAAAGCAAAGCTCTGTGGATAGTTCAGACAGAGGATCCAACATATTTTGTCAAGAAATGCTGAATCTCACTGAAGATCACTGACAGTTTTGTTTGCATAAAATAACACCCAATATTTTCTCTATAAATGTCCAACATGCATGTCAGTGGCGTTTGAAGATAATTTAATACAGGGACTTCTCTGTCCTATCCACACCACCTTATTAGTGAGCCCCGGACATTTGTGAGCATTTGAGTGATAGTGGCTGAGTAGGATGAGAATGAGGAAGGTTCAGCAGCATGTCAGCACCCATACTGGGGAAGAAGTCCTGTCATGTGGCAGGAAACATATGGCATCCCTTGGTACGTAGTAGCTTGGTTGACATGACAAGTCAGGCAA